TTCCAGTAGTTTCCATGTGATGATATAAAACATGGACCTCACTTTAAGCTTGTGTTGAGAGTCTAGGACACTATTGGTTACTTGGCAGTTTTTTAGGGACAATCATTGATACAGAAGCATTCAATTTTTCAACAGGATTTTATCTGGCTGTTCTTAAACCATGCAGAAATGATGGAAGGTGTGGGGTTTTTAATTAAAGGGGAGGAGCGGGGGGGCGTGTCAGGAGAATAGTTGTAAACCGATGATTAAATTTCCATGTCCAAAATGGTATTTTTCTGCTTTTGGTTTTTGCCTGGCAACAGTACTTTAACAAAAACTGGAGCTGTCTTTGTCACCCTGCAGGTAGGCATTCCACAACTCTTGTACTGTACTGAAGTGCTTTGCAGTGGGTGTTAGTGGCGTGCTGTTGACAGCTTGAGCCTTATGGCTGGAAGCCTTAAATCATGCAACTCTTTCCTTCTTGCCCAATTCAGTAATGTATTGAGCTGAAAAATCCCGGTTCTCTTACGCTAGCTGCGTGTCCAGGACCAGAAAATGCCACGTGCTGCTCTTTCCTTTTGAAAACCAAATGAGCACATGCGATTATTCTTTTTTTTCCTCTTCCTTCCATCTAATGTTATTCCAGCCACTCGAGGTGGAAATTAAGATACAGATACTCAATTAGAAAAGACCTTTTGCCTCACTGTCCTTGTTCCCAACAATGCATATGCTTTTTGAAACCCAGGCACAGCAGGGACGTGAAACCCTTTTCAGGTCGTCCAATGGCTACCAGAAAACGACAGTTCCTAATGCTAAATGTACCAGGATATTTTTACTGGTTTTGACATTTGGAATTTGGAGGCTCAAAATCTTTTTTTCAAGTTCTAGTAACAGTGAATTGAACGAAGTGTTACTGTACCTTAAAAAAACCCCAAAAAACCCAAAACCCAACAACAGACCCCCAGCAATAAAAACCCACAAATCCCCCCACTCTATTACTAAAATAGGCTCGGGATGATGCCTTCATATATATACATATATATGTATAAACACACACTAATTTAATTGCTCCATAGTCTCTTTTGGCATTTGACAGAAAGGAGAATTGTTGTTTTAGAACGAATCTCTGCACATTTGCAAGGAACACTGGCAGACTTCTGCCCAGATCAGCACTGACCTCATGATGCTCTCTTAATTTGCTGAAAATCGTTGCACGAGCAAACCACCTTTAATCGAAGTGCCCTTGTGGAGAACTGCTCAGTCTTAACAGCTCGAAGAGACAGGCAGTAGAGTCAGCTGTCCTTTACCTCTCTGCCACAGTTATTCTACAGTTGGACTTTCTCCCCTCCACCCCCTCTTCATTGCACTGTTATCTAAAAAGGGAAGTTAAACTCATTATGATACATCTGCCTCAGACTGATCTTAGCAAGAGAAAGCACGCGTCCGTCTTTAATTCACTCCCTGCGTCTGCGTATTGTGAAATACGTGGTACTTCGGGTTTTTCCTTAGTATTCTCTTCCCGCAATTACCTGCACCAGGAAGAGGAAGGAAGAGGTGCCAGAGCCTTAACCTGAATGTCTTGCGTTTGGTTGGTTTATACCAGATCTTTAACATAATTGTAATGTAGTAATTTCTATTTAATAGTAAATAACACTGAATAGGTAGGGGTTATTTTTAAGGGATTTTCTAAATAGTCTGCCTGTATTACTTTTCAAGGCTCCTCACATTTCCTCCCCCCAATTCAGGCTTCTCTGTGAGATTTTTATTTTTATTTTTTTTAGCATCACTGTTTAGTTGCTTGACTGATATTAATGCAATATTACTAATGCCTTTAATACATAATTGTTTATGCCAAAGATCACTTTTTGTTTATTGAGGAATGTTTGCAGGAAAGTTATGAATCATGGTTGCCTTTGATATTCTTCCAGAACGTTTGCTCTAAGCTCTTGAGCTGTTTTGTGGAAGCTAAGATACTTGTGCAGCTTATGCAGTTGCTGCTCTTTTGAACACTAGTGGTCTTCAGACCTGAAATGCAGCAAAAAATTTGAAAAAGACCATGAATGTCACTTAGAAATGTTTTACCACTATAAAACTTTGTTTATAAACCAAAATGTATTGTATAGTCTAATGTTTTCAACCTTTCTTTGGTTCTGTTAAAACAATAAAAATGCATTTGTACAAATGGGAGTTTGTGAGTATTCATGCTAAGGGAGCAGTGGGTAACACCGCAAGGACAAGAGCAAAAAGCTGAAGCAGCAGAAATACTAAAGCTGAAGATCAGTGGCTTCTGCATATTCTGAACAGAAAAAAGTGCAAAGTTCCTCAAACATGAGGAGATTAAAACAGGTTGTTTCTGTCTTTTTGTGCCTGTAAAACTAGTCATTAAAGATCTTACTGGAGGCTGTGATCCAGTGGGAGAAAAGGGTGTTTTCCTGAGGCCCGATGGTCATCTGTTCTTGTAGCACTGAACGGGGTTCTAAAAACTTGAAATGGGATTTGCCTGATCCTGTCAATAAGGGAAGAACGGCTGCTCTGGCCAACACCTCATAAATCTCAATTGTACTTCACAAATTGAATGCGAGGGCAATTGGCATGGAATCACTGTCCACTTTCCTTCACGGTAAAATCCTCTTATAAACACTTTTTTTTGCTAAAAATTTTGACCAGCACACGTGACGTTCTGACTTCGTGGAACCAACATTTATTGGTGCTGTAGGACCGAACGTAGTCTCACAGTGCTGGAAGGCATCTTGGATTTAGTAACAATAGGTAAAATTCAGATTTCATACTGTTCACACAGTTGTCTCCTATGTGAGAGAAGATGAGAACCTGAGAGACAGTCTCCTTTGCCAGCACTGCCAGAGCCGCACACCTGAGAAGGGGAGATCAAAAGCTGGCAGTACCAATTCCTCAATAATGACATCCTCTGATTTCTTAAGCTGTGCTATTCATGCAGGTGCCAGTGCAATTTTTTTAAAAAGGGGAGAATATGAGCACAGTCCCTGCTGCTGCAGGTTCTGCAGTTGAGTTTCCTGTGTTTGGAGAAACAGCGGGAGCCAGCACACCCACAGCAAAAAGGGGGAAGCTTCACGCAACAAAAACATTTCCCCGATGAAAAGCATCCTCATGCACAGGGTGGTTCCTACCAGGTGAGTGTCATTCTTGTTGATGGTGACTTGTGGTGGTGTGCTGTGAAGTACGGACCAAAGCTTTTCTGGAGGCAGCAGCTTTGTGCTGCTCCCCTGGATGCCCAAGTTCCAGAAGGTCGGTGCGGGCTGTTCTGTGACGTGCTGAAGGGGAGGGCTGCCATTAAGGCGAGCCAGTTTTGATATTGCATGATGTTCTCCATCGGTAGCGGGGTCAGTTCTGAAAGGAGATCTGGCGGCGTTTCCAGGCTGCTGATGCAGAGAGCAGCTCTACCTACTCAGACTTAAGCTTGGGACGTCACCAGTTACATCTGAAGACAAGACTTCTAGTGAAAGTACTGTTAACTGGAGGATGGCATTTACTGGAACGTGGAGCGGAACTGGGGGATGAGTAATGAATTGGTGGATGTTTCTGCAGTTGAACACATAGACTAGATGGTTGGTAGCTTTTACTAGCCAGTGTCGTGCCTAGGCTTTCTTACAGGTGCTGACTCTTTAAAGTGCTGGTTTAGCTACGTTGATCTGGAATTTCAGAAACTGAAAATGGTTGTCTGTGGCCCAAGCTTACCCGAGTGGTATTAGCAAAGTTACCAATAGAGAATATGTGCTCATTTCTTTACTTTCTGGCTTGCTGCCAGAGTTCAGGTGGGTTCCCCCTCCTTTTTTTCAGACTAGATCATTTTTTGTCCCAAAACTTGACATTTTGACTACCATATGACTTTAGTTCCTATTCTTCACCTGAAGCAAAGTTAGCGCCTATTCATCAATTTGTAAGCCCAACGAATCGGGGAACAAATATTCTGCAGCATCCCACCCTTCCTTACCTGACCTTGGGTTTCTCAGCCTGCCAAGTACTGACCAAATGTACGGTTCGAAACCTGAGGTGTACTGCGGAGCACATATTGCTTTACAGAGATAACAATTTTATGCTGGTGTATAAGGAGAAGTTTAGTCAGCTTTGCATCATCACTATTGTGTCTTTGAAATGTCATAATCTAAACATTAATTGTCCTCCACTTAAAAATAAAAAAAATATGAAGGGTGCTTACCTGCCATGCTCCCAAATGCCCTCTCTAAAATTTAAATAGCTGCACAGTGATAGGGTTCAGTAAAGATGTTGCAAAAAGTCATTGCTGAATTGTTTATCAGATGTCTCGGCCTAGGAGCATCATGACTCGTTTACAATAGCAAACATTTCACAAGAGAAGATATATTTGCAGTAGAGTTCCCTTTATTTCGTAACATTAAAGCACACAACCATTAAATACACTTGACACTTCTATTGTGCTATCTAAAAAGCTACGCTCCAATGTACACATGGCACAAATCTGGTGGCATCCACTTGGAACAAGTGGAACATCTAAATCAAAGCAAAGGCTTCACATAAAAAATAGATCTTACTCTCTGCAACTGTATTCTTAAAAAAAATGAGGATGATGAGATTGAATGGAAAGAAAGTGGATTACTGAAGCAACAATCACCTCCCAGATTTAATGCAGAATGTTATTTTTATCAGCTCATCTGCAGATGGCACAAATGAAAGCTGATTAAGGCAAATGCTTCTTAAGAAAGGCGATTTCTTGTAAACAACAAGTTTTTTTTTTTTTTTTCTTCGTCTGAAGCTCTTTCTCAGGAGTGACACTTGCTGTGTCCCAGGCCCCTGTGGGAGCCCTGCCCCTCTCCCCGCTGCCTTCTGTTTCTGAAGGGATGACATGATGCTTTGTGGGGTGCCAGCGTGCAGCTGGCTGCGAGAACAGCTGAGCTTTCTCTGCAGACGGCTGCAGCAGCGAAATGTGCCACCACAAGACTTCCAATGGCCTGTCCGGCCTTGGCGTGCTTGGCCTCTGGGCTTTGGTATCTGCCTGGCAGTGTAGCGTTTGCGACATTTTCTGGATCGCCTATATCAAACTATTCACCGGCACAACAATTCAGTAAAAAAAGAGTGAAGGTGTATTAGGAAAAAAAGTACCTTATTAAGAAAAACTAAGCTATGCTTTCATTTTAAGAGCTGCTGTGCACAAATGCTTTGATCCCAAACTAATCAGTGTCTATTAATTAATTAATTGGCACCTAATTAATAGCAACGTAAGTCACTAAGCAGTCAAGTTTGTTGTGGGTTTTTTTAAGGGGAATTTCCTCTTGGAAGTAGAGCATCTTCTCATGTCCTGACTTGGAATTTTCCTGCTTTTGTAATGTATTTGACGCCTTTAAAAGGCTTGTATTTTTCCCCATACATGTCTAGGCGATTCACTTTCAGTCCTGAAAAAGACAAAAACGAGTACAAAGTTAAAAGCAGAATGCGAGACATCACGTCAATGTGTTTAAAAGTCCTGTTTTCTTGAAGCATGTTAAGATGGGTTAGGAAGCTAATTGTCCTTCCTTTCACAAGTTCACCCCGTTTGAAACAGCAGAACGGACCATTCTGGTCACTGACTCGTAGCTGCCCTGGGAGGGCAACAACTTGTTTCTCTTCTACTCAGTGAGCCAAACATCCTCCTTCCAAGGGACGCGCTATTGAACAAACGGGTCTGTCTGCCGCAGCTCCCGGACACTGCGCGTGTTTCCAATAGTGTAGATGAAGCAAAGGCCAAGTTTTAGAATTCTTTTCACTCTAAAATCAGGACCAGCAATCCCCCGGCTATTAACTGAGGAATGGCAGTAGCTATGAATTACCCGACAGTTCCAGGTTGTCCTCTGCCTTCTCACAGGTGTAGCACCTTTGGCATCCAGCCATTGGAGCCACTAGATTTGAACTAGTGGATTGCAAGTTTTAAAAGGAAACTGCAGGATTATGTTCTTATACAAGGACTAACCACTATTTACTCAGCAAAGTGGTCTAGGAAGCAAAAGGACCATAGCCTGGTACCTACCTAGAAAGATGCTACATGTTCTACCACAGATTGTCCTCTCCTGTCTTCACTCATCCTCCTTCCATCCACATGGGAGGCTGTACTCTGTTAGGGTCTTCTCCCTGCCACGCTTGCTTACGGAAGCATTTTACACATGGACAACTCGCATGACTTATGTGTGTGCAGACGAGGCCTTATTTGTTTTAAATTTACTTCTGCACTTGCCCTATAGACTTCATTCTGATTTTTACTTGCATATTTTTTGAAGGTGAAGAACTAAGCACCTCCATTAGGAAAGAATAAGAGGGCATTCTTTAAAATTAGTGGAGTTTTTTGACCACTGGAAAGGGCTTTAGTGGTGCGAGGCAAGAGTAGCATGCTAAGTCATCATCCATCACTCTTCACTAAAAGGATAAATTTGCATGTTTTATGCACAAGTCAACAAAGAAAAACCCATTCTTCTGTACCCTACTTACAGTCTTTCTTGAGCAAAACGATTGGGAATTCACAATTCCCAGCAAGGGTGACTGTCAGGGTTGAGTAAACCAGACTTTACCTTATTGGACCAAGCTGACTTCAGATCAGCATCTCCAATTAAAAGATTAACAGTTTCCCACTTAGTTTCCTACCGCCACTCATTGCGTCAGTGCCAATTTCACGTAACGCCCACCCACTCACCTGAAATTGCAAGCTGTTGTATCTTAAACTGGATGTTTAAACTTGGATTCTCCTCTGGCTTGGGGGCTCCAGACTGCAGGTTCACTATGCCCTTCAGGTTTGGGAGCTTTTGAGGAGTAATTTTGCCAACGTCCCACGTTAACACCTTGTCAGGAAAGAGAACAGTGGCAGTAGCTTTCTAGGAAACAACCTATGAGGTCGAGTTCACGCCAAGCTTTCAGTTCGCAGGCTGGGTACAGAAAGTCGCTGGTAGCCCTGAGAATTATCCCACGGGCTGCGAGAGGGTATTGTTAGGGCTCCTGCAGGTATGGTGACTTTTCTGTCCCAGCATTTCTTTTGCCCTGTCAGTGCTCCTTAGTTGGTCTGTGCGCTTAATGCAACTTGTTCCCTTAGTAATGGTGATTGGTCCTGTTGTCAGATGGGGTCGGCTAGGTCCGTGAAGCAAGGAGAGTAATCAGCACAAAGGTCGCAGGAACTTAAACATAAGAATGAGGAGGACAGGAGCAAGGCACGTGGCAAAAGCAGATGTTGACGCTAGAGTAACTTTCCTAAGGGTTACTTGTTTCCTCTTGATTCTTACACTTTCAAGAAGGTACATGGAACAAAGTTGGCCCTTTACTCGCCAACAAGAGGTGATTTTTTTTTTGTTCTTATCATAAACTGAAAATTGTTGATAAATAAAGAAAACAAACTCGGTTCTCCCTAATTGTACAAACTTTTGCAGTTACAATCCACCTAGTTATCCCAATTCTTTATAAAAACACAATATAATTTATTTCTGCAGAGAGGAAAGGAGACTTCAAGTGTTTTTGTCGGTGTTCTTGTTTTTAAAAGATCAAGGTCAGTTCTTTTTGAAATAAAATGTTACTTGGAGAGCTTTCACTTCCAATTCAAATCAATTGCTGACTGAGATATTCCAAGGGCAGCAGAAAGCTCAGAGCAGGGTGTTAGAGCCAGCAGAATGGTTTGGCTCAGACAGCCTTTTAGCAAAATGGTTCCTGGGTACTGAAAATCTTCAGGAGCTTTAGGAAATATACAGTTTTTCAGACCCTTTGTTTTCTTTCCTGTGTGTCTTCAGGCAGATTGGAAGAGTTTTTATTTTCTCATCACCTGCTCCCTGTTTTTCTCGCTGTTTTCAAGTCTACTGCATTTCTCCAGGTAAGTATGTTTTCAAGAACATAGATTACAAAATATACCATAGCTGAAACCACCAGCAAAATACTGCTGCATCCGGTAAAGAAAAATAGTAGTGGGTGAAGGAGTAGGGGAAAAGACAGGAAGGAAAGGTAGAGGGGAAGGGAAGGGAAAGGAGACTGATAAAACCAGAAATCACAACTGGTGCATATCTAAGTTTGAAAAAGTAAGTTTTAAAGACAAGATATTAATTCCTAAGCATATGCTGAAGGGAAAGTTTTCTGCTAAGTGTGGAACACTGCTCCAGTGCTCTGCAGTATGTATGACTTGTTCTAATGTCGTCTTAGATATTTAAATAAATAAAAACTTAAGACTTACTTTGGTAACTGGGTCAAATGTATAGCTGCCTTGTGTAGCAGTGAGGTTCATGTTAAGTACAGCCTTTGGCATGTGAACTGTCATGACAACTCCTTCTACTGTTTTCCCCATATTCTGTTTTGGTCCAATTGTAACATCAAATCTTCCGGAAGAACTATTTTCCTTAAAACTGATCATGTGTTTCACATATACAGGAATTGCCACCAAGCTGAAAAGAGAAGACAGTAGCTGAATGCATCCTGGCTACTTCTCTGCTCAAGAAAATAAGGCTCTGTTTCATAAATAGTTCTTGTGTTTCTGGTAGGTATTCAAGCTAGAACCAGTTTGTTTCAAAAGCGAAAAGTGATACTCAGCTCTTCAACATCGTTGCTGAAGTGATTTTATTAGCAGACAAACACAGGAAAGAAAGATTTTCTTAAAAATCACTTGTCCTAATTGCTTTCCATCCATCTGTTTTGTTTTGTTTGTTTTTTGGTTTTTTTTAAGTAATCTCACTGAGCCAATTCTCAGAACAGCCACCAGTCAAATCAGACTTAGTTTGCAAATATCTACAGTTTAGTTTTTTTTGCTTTATTCTTTGTATGAAGATCAGAGCCCTCTATGTTCACAGAGTCTTAACCACAAAGCATCTAGCAGCAACAATGACAGCCAGGAATGAATAGCCCTGTATTACTGTCATGTGTGCTTTATCCCACCGAAAAATGATTGCCGAATATCAGCAGCTCACTGAAAACCTGTTTTCTTGTTTTAGTGGGGACAGAGCAACAGATGAGACAAAGCCTGAGAACGTGCATTTTCGCAACAATGCAAAGTCCACCCATAACAAGGAGAAATCTGTTGTTACTCTGATGGAAAGTGGTAGATGGTATATCTGAAGCATCGGTATGTCTAAACGGAAACGTACTTCTGTGAACTGACACGGTAGGAGATCAATCTGAAATTCCCATCGGGAGGAATAAACGAAAGGACTCTCTCAGACTCCCAGCGTTTGAACCGAATACATGGATGGAAGCTCACATCATCCAGCAGCCGTGGGTTCTGTAAGTAGTGGCAAAGTGGTAAGTGGAATCTCATCAAGTATCAGCGGTTTGAACTAGCTACTGAACTCTACGCAATTCCGATTTCTTAGACTCTAAGTATCATCCCTAGCCATTATCTGAGACACGTTACTGAGCTAGATGGATTTCTGGTCTGACCTGGTACAGCTTTTCCTGTGAGCGTATTTTTAGGTACAGACAAAAGCCATTCCAACTACTGAGCAATGCAGCAACTTCTACAATACAACGCAAAACTCATTATTTTTCCTATATGTAACACATGAAGTAGTGACTGCGCTCTTAAAATTGTTTAACTCTGATCATTAAGAAAAATAAATCCTGAGCAACTAAAATTCCCAAATACATGCTAAATTTACCATGAAAGAAAGAGAAAGG